ACTCCCCTCTCCAGCCCCCTTCTCTGGGGGAAGCCAGCTGGGCTGGTTGGAGGGCAGCACGGCCTCTCCGTTTCCTCTCCCCCCATTCCTTACCCAGAGTAGCCCCTGCCCCTCCCCACTGGCTGCACTTCCCACGGTGCAGAAAGCAGGGCTCTGGAAAACTGAGTTAACATTTAACAGCTGCTGCTAGGACTCAGGAGGCTCCCCTCTCCAGCCCCCTTCTCTGGGGGAAGCCAGCTGGGCTGGTTGGAGGGCAGCACGGCCTCTCCGTTTCCTCTCCCCCCATTCCTTACCCAGAGTAGCCCCTGCCCCTCCCCACTGGCTGCACTTCCCACGGTGCAGAAAGCAGGGCTCTGGAAAACTGAGTTAACATTTAACAGCTGCTGCTAGGACTCAGGAGGGGTCCCCCGCGCTGGAGATCCCAGCTGTGGCAGGAGTTTCTAGGACACCTTCGGAACCAGCTGGGCCCCGGAGATCAGGCTAGGCTGACGCAGAGAGAAATCCCCCCGAAGCTGGGGAGATAAAGAAGGGAAGAGACTAATCAACACCAGGATCCATCCTCGTGATCTTCCTGGCTCTGCCCTGCCCCGCACCAGCTCAGGGGCTCCCCAGTTTACCGACCCCCCGACTCAGTGCCCTGAAGGCAGCACATGGTGGGAATCCCTTTTGGATTTGGAAGCTTCTCCCCTTCCAGCAGCATGAAGGCGCGTGCTGTTCGCGAGAGGATCACGGACGCCCACCCAACGAACCTGGGGAACTGAGCCGACCGGATTCACGCGCAGGCCCAGGGAATAGATCAGAACCGATTGCATCACGCTTCATGCGGGCAGGGGAACCGTTCGGGGCGGCGGGTGGGGGAGAGAATCCATCTTCCATAGAAGGCAAGAACAAGCAACAACAAGCGATCAGCCAAAGTTCAAGGTCTCAATCCACCTGCTGATCAAGAGATTCGCGTCCTGGCATTCAGGAGAACAATAACCCGGGGCAGCGGGGACGGGGCTTTCTGAAGGGCAAAAGTCAGGAGGGGCCAGCGCCTGCAGCCAGGGCCAGATTTTCACCAGGATGCAGAGGGAGCTACCGGCCTTTCATGAACACCTGGCCGTCGGGGCCCGAGTTCATGTGACAGTGGAGGCTTCTCAGCGCTGGATTTGGAAGCCCAGTTACAATTCAATAGACTCAGGCTTCCAAAATCTGGCTTCGTAGCCTCACTCTTCTCTTCCCTCCCCCCCTCCACCCCTGGTCTGCTTACTCTGCCTTTTGGAAGAGGGTCCGTGCAAGGGTGACCAGATGTCCCGATTTTATGAGGACAGCCCTGATATGCGGGGCTTTGTCTTACATAGGAACCTATTACCCCACGCCTCCTGTCCTGATTTTTCACACTTGCTATCTGGGCACCCGAGGCCACGGGAGGGGAGGGGAGGCTGGTCGGGGGACGCTGGCAGTGTAGCCTCTGGCTCTAACTTGACAGCCTGTCTTTTCGAAGTTGTGGTATATGCTCCTAGCGAATGAGACAGGGCAGCTTTTCTCTCCCTATGGCCCCAAATCAACCAATAGCACAGCCACACGGGGCCCCTTTTTGTAAAAAGGGGACTCTATGTATCTGCCGAGATGACCCCCCTCACAATCTTTAATGCATTTATGCTGACACAGCCACGGAAGGCAAGAAAGTTATCCCCCGTGTACAGATGGGGAAACTGAGGCAAGGAGCAGTGAAGTGACTTGCCCAGGGTTAGCCAAGGTGTAGTGGCAGAGTGGGGATTGAACCTGTTTCCTGGCTTGCCACCTAACCACTGGGCTCATCCTACCTCTACAGCCATTTGCTAACCAGGGTCAGTGTTCAAAGGAAGGAAGCATTGCCAGAGGAAAAGACAGGGGGCACTGGGTAGGGATGTAAAATTTCGATTATTTGGCTAATTGACTAATGGATGCAATTGACAATTTGATTAGTCGATTCGGCGCCTCTGCCTTTGAAGTGTAGCAACAGCCTCAGGGCAGTTGCTACCCCTCAAAGGCGAAAGCGCTGCAGGGTGCATGGGGCCAGCAGTCCCCTGCACCACGGTTCCCTGTAAGCTGAGCGCCTGGGCAGACACCGAAGAGAGATTCAAATGCTGCCCAGCTGATGAGCAGTGCGCCCATAGCCAGTAGCCTGTGTTTCTACTGGTGGTGCGCACTCGCACATACTTCGGCGCACAGAACAAAATGTATTCCGCACAGGGAACGGAAAAAATTATGAGGAACACTGCTCCGCACCCACTGCTCCCGGCATTGGCAGCCTCAGCCAAGCACTAAGCAGGGGGCAGAGCCAGAACTCCCCCTCGGAGAGTGCCTCCCATCTACCCAGCCTGAGATGCAACTTCCTTGAGACGGCCCCGAGCTGAGACCCATCCACCCATTACAGGAGATGGTCCCTTTCCCAGCCTCCTCCGCGGCTACCTCCTGGTTTTCCAAGCGGGCCTGAGGGCAGTGGTGAAGATTAGGAGGGGCAGGGACAGTCTCCCTGTCCCCAGCTGTGTGCTGTGCCCCTGGCAATGAATCTCAAGGGAGCCGGGTGCCAAAGGAGGAGGGGTGGGGGCAAAGGAATGTGAGGCCGCCCAGCAAGGTTAGTCAATGATCAATCATTAAAGGCTTCCTCATGCAGTCAGTGCTGGACACTTGGCCTGGGGGGCTAAGGGCCTCTTGTTCATACTGATTTGCAATGCCCTGAGCGCACAGGACCTGTTAAAAAACCTGGGAGACAGAAGGCCTCTGTTTCACCACAGAGCAGGGTCGCAGTGCGGAGAACTCCCTCTCCCTACACACATGCCTCCTCCGAACGCTCAGGCCTGACCTGGAGGGACCGGCGTCCAGCAGGGTGGGGAGTCCAGCTGACACTCCCTGTGAACACGGGCTCCAAGTGGTGCAAACACTTTGCCGCCGCAAACTGGACAAAGGCACCACAAACACATCCCACGTTTGCTACTGAAAAAGCCCCTCCCACTGGAACAGCCCCTCACCAGGACCGAAAGCCTGTAGAGCCTCCTCGCCAGCCGGCGGAGATTCCGGTCTGATTTCGATGCCTGCCTCAGTTTACCTGCTTGATAGTATCTTCCCTGACTGCATGGTGTTAAGTAGGAGGAAGGGAAACAGAACCATAATGGAGATAAGGTCTCTCCAGAGAGAATACCCAAGGGTCCTTCAGGCAGCAATGGTGGGGACAGGCAAAATGGGCAGCTGTGCCTGACTGCGGCGAGGCTAGCTGGTTTATTTTTCCAGGCTCACGCCTAGGATCAATAGGAAAGACCCCCCAGCCTAGAGCAGTAGGGTGGTGAGTGGCCCACAGCAGCCGCTGGAGGAGAGATGCGCGGCGCGGATGCTGTGGGGAACTGTCTGTCTCTCCCAGGACTGAGTGCAACTTTCCCAAACACTGCAAAGACAGAACCAAGGGCAGGGCAGGTTGGTGCCTTGTTACTTTCACCCGTTTCTCTCCCCTGGGGAGTAATTAATAGCACTGTGGTTTGATACGGCTGCAGACATTGGGTAGTTACACAGCTCCCGAGAAAGAAGCCGAGCCCTGCTATAGGAGCCACAGGGGTGCTCTCACCCACGGACCCAGGAGCAGAAGTTTCGGGAGGACTGCCAACTTCCCCAACCGGACGGCCAGGCACCACTGGCAACATGCCAGCAGCTCAGGGCTCCGCCTCGACTGAAACGAGATTATCGCTAGAAGGGGGCGCTCCCGAGAACCGTGACAGAGGGGGACGAAGCAGAGCACATGCCTGACCCACGACATCAGACCTTCCATTGGGGATTGTGCGTCACCCAGGGCTATGCTGGGTCCTGATCTCAGTCCAGGTCAGTAGGTGCTATTATGTATCACCTGCATTAAAATAACAACCTCCATTTTTTTTAAAAAAAAAGCTACTCAAGGTCTGGAGAGAGCGACTTGAAGAGACGACGCTACGGGCAAAGATTCCGAACGGAGCGCTCCATTAGGCAGCAGAAGGGCAGCTTAAGGATGAGTGTGGACGCTCCATTTCTACTGATACTTAAAACCGGAGGACTGCACAAACACTGAGAATAGAGCCAGGGTGTAACCCTGAACCCGCTGGGAGCGTGCAATTTAGCAGGCCTTATCCCATTGCTAACCTGGACAACTCCAGAGCCTGGCTGGTATGTGGGAGATAGTTAAGTGAGTTAGATTTTTAGAAGCGCTGATTTCGGAATCATGCACAAAACAGCCTCAATCAGACATAAGAACGGCCAGACTGCGTCAGACCAAAGGTCCATATAGCTCAGTGTCCTGTCTGCCGACAGTGGCCAATACCAGATGCCCCAGAGGGAAGGATCACAACAGGGAATCCTCACGTGATCTCTCGCCTGTCATTTATCTCCAGAGAAACAGAGGCTAGGGACACCATTCCTACCCATCCTGGCTAACAGCCAGTAATGGACCTAACCTTCATGAATCTATGTAGCTCTATTTTGAACCATGTTAAAGTTCTAGCTTTCACCGCATCCTCTGGCAGGGAGTTCCACAGGTTGACTATGCACTGAGTGAAGAAAAAAGACAACACACTCAGATTCACATCAGCATCAAGCAGCACATAAACCTTGCAGTCACCCTTTGTGTAAACAGATTGGCCAGACCTTGTGCCCGAAATGTTATCAGCCTCAGATTCTTGTAGTGCCCAAAGTAATTCCACCGTAACCAACAGTGACTTTGTAACCCATGGGATTGAGTTGTGACGGGTGCCAGTCCGGCAAACATTTGATGTGTGGAACCTGGCCTGCATGAATCATCCAACTGAAGTTACTGGGAAGGCAGATGTCTGCCCAGTCATGCATGGGTTCATGTGCTTGCAGATTTGGAGCATGCACACCTGTAAAGTCCACCTCCCCCTCAAACGAGGACATAGGAGCGGAAAATCCCCAGTGATTCTTTTTAATGCCAGAGGTGTTATCAATATGCTAGATGATTTCATGGAGGTTAGGTCCATAAAAGGCTATTAGCCAGGGGGTAGAAATGGTGTCCCTGGCCTCTGTTTGTCAGAGGCTGGGAAAGGGTGTCCCTGGCCTCTGTTTGTCAGAGGCTGGAGATGGATGGCACAAGACAAATCACTTGATCATTGTCTTCGGTCCACCCCCTCCGGAGTACCTGGTGCTGGCCACTGTCGGTAGACAAGCTCTGGGGCTAGATGGACCTTTGGTCTGACCCAGTATGGCCATTCTTATGTTCTTATGTTCTTATGTATTTTGGAATCCATCTGCCTTGATGTCCCCATCCCCGGGAACGGGTTCCCTCTCTCCTGGACATTAGGGAAAACATTCATTGAAA